CTAAGGACTGAAAGCCACTAATTCGGGTGTCCATGGGCATAAGTACTGGCCAGAAAGCAGACCTCTATAAAGCATCACTTAACAAAAGCTCTAAGCAATCTACACACCTAGGAATAAGTCTTGTAAAGATTGTTTTGCCTTTTTTTTTTTCCCCAAATCCTTGATTCTGCTATTCTGTTAAAGGTCACTCAACCCCAGCACCTCGATACATAGGTACAAGGAGGAGTTCTGTACTTCTGGAATTGAAAGGATGACACGGGGATCGAGTCAAAATGGTTAATCTCATATTGAAAATGGGGAATACTGAATATATCACTTACCATGCAATAGATGTATTTAAATATAGCAGCCGTGACCACTATAGGACGGGATTCTGATACTGGCATTGGTTGATAAACCTAACCCGACCTTAGGAAGGAAGGCTCCTCTGACCCCCCCAGGTACTACTGCTTCTTCTCTGTGTTAGAAAAACTTGGCCTCACATTATCTGTGGTGAGAGGTCACCATATCATTTCAGAGCTTTCATTACTTTCCTCAAAATCCTTACATCTGACACAGTCAGGCCCAGTTGTTGGTTTAGTTAAAAAATTAGGTATCTAAATTATATATTCTGAATGGTTTTTAAAATTAAAATAACAAGTATCCATCTACTATTTTCTAGGTTTTTTGAGTGGAGGGGGTCAAGGCATTGTTCTGAGCGTGAAGCACTGTTTGATTTTCTGTGTTCTCTTTCTTGCACAAACTTAGTAGCACACCATCCGGTATTTCCAATTTTCATTTCTTGAAAGTGGCCAGAGAACTCGGTACTCAGATTGTTATAAAAGAGTTTGGCTCCTTTTAGTTCTTCACAATTTGCTCCCAGTCTTTTACTACTGTATCTCTGACACCTAATCCAAGAGCAGAATTTTCTTCTGTCCTTTTTTGGGACTTGCTTTTATTTAGCCTTTCCAGAGCATTCATCTTATTCAACTTACTTGTTGGGGGAAACACCAGGTTTGTCTTGTCCTCACATTTAATCAATTAACATTTAAATTATTTAGTGATGCTAATGCACTGAACTGGTGGGAGGAGAAGTATACAGAAACAGCAGACTGGCTTCTGGAGGCATTTGGGATGCCATGGGCATCTATCAGTGTGTTTTACAGAGGGAGAGCTGACTTTTTAAAGCAGTCCTTGGCCTTACATCTGCACATGTTCAAAACTCACTTCACTTAATGGAGTCTTATTCAGTTGTTTACTACCCTTATATGCTCAACAAAACGCCTGCCGTCTGCCTTATTAACCCTGGCATTTTCTTTTGTCTGTTGTCTTGGCTTTGTGGCATTCTTGCTAAAAAAAACACCACTCTGTCCAGCTATATTCTTTCTTGTATACAGCACTATTGAGGAGGATATTATATAACCTACCTTTTTGGCAGGAAAGAACATTTTGTGATAGGAGTCTAAAGTGGAAAATGGCCCCTGGAGGCAAAGTAGTGCTCCTCCTCCTCATAGTCTTTGTCTCAGGCTCCTTGGGCGCTGCTTCCAGGGGATCAACCCCATGGGAGATGGGGATTTGTGGACTGTCTTCAGGAGGAAAGTGTGAACAATTGTGGGAACAGGGTGGGGCAGAAGAAGGAGCTAAGCAGGGATATGGCTTCAGGTAAAGTCTCAGCTTCATTCCCTGGGAGGAGCTCTGGACCACAAAATGTTTCTTGACTTGAAGCTACCACTGACTGGGGCCGGGAGTAGAGAAGGAGTATAACTCCCAGAATCACAGCTTTCATCACCTAAGGGCAAGCCTCTGAAAAAGGTGGCAGTAGCTGAGCAATGTGTGCATGAAACCTGAACTAGTAAAACTGATCACAGGGGATCCATGCAGGACATCAATGGTCTGCTAATATACAAAATATCAGATATTAAATGTGTGGTGTTTCTAAAATAGCTGCTTTTATTGGGCCCAATTTATGAACCTTCTTAGATTTTCTTGGCTTTACCTGTTTCCTGGGCCCTCAGCTGGTTGGACAGAGAGAGCCCCTACCTCAACACCACTGCCCCATTTCTAAATGTCAGGCACTGACCCCACCTTCCCTGGGGAGGCCAACTTCAGCATGTCCACCATTTTACCCACCACAGTGTGAGCTGCAACGACCACAGCCCAGACATGAGTCTCCAGGGGAAACTCAGAGGGGCGGTGGTTCCCCTGACTGTATTTTGAGACTCAGGACACCATACTGTGAGGCATGACCTGTGGCTTCCTTCATGGCTGTCCTCTATGGCTGAGGGGTCAGGTGCACAACTAGAAGGAACATGGGAGCTAAGCCTCACAGGGAAAACCCATAAATGGATTCCTTTGGTTCTTTTTCTCTGATGGATTTGTGGTTCTGTAGAAGATGCCTGGAGATCTGAGCAAGTGGTTCTGTTTTCTGTTCTAAAGCTATGGCCAAGGCAACCACCACCTCGTATCTACTTTCCCTTCTTCCTTTTTTCACTTCCCCTTTTCCTTCATTCTTACTGCTCTGCAGCTGCACCCCTACACCTCCCCCAAAATGTATTAGTGTGTACCTTAACCCTACTCTTCCATCCACAACAACAACGAAATGAAAAACCAAACAGAGCCTGAAACAAAGACAGTACCCCTAGAGATTCAGAGTTTCAACCCAATGTATGAATCCTCAACTGGTTTGACTGCCATTGTAAAACATCAGGGGAAATTTTTTTGAGTAAAGAGAGGGTAATCCTAAAATTGTTCGTTTTTTTCTATCTTAACAAAGTCAATCTTATTAAAATCTAAGTGGATGCTTAGGAGAAATCCCTATGATGCAACAAAGACTTTCCTTTTGTTATGACTTTCACGAATTGGCTCAGAGCCAAGATCACTATGGTGAGGCACTGAACTTAAAAACAATGCAGAGGAGAATGTACACTCTGGAAGCTGCTTTTCCTGAAGGAACTCATAACGGGAACTGGCGTGATGCAAGTGATGTGAAACATCCTTGGTTTTCAAAAACAAACTGACTTGCGATGTAGCTCCGGTCATATTTAGGCCAGCAGTTATGAGGCTAGGTCTAGTCTTGAGTGTTACTGATGGGCAGGCTAGAGAGTCTGGCCTGAACACAAGTGAAGTTTGTCATTTTTGTCACAGTTAGTGTTGATGGCTGCAGTCAGTGTGGTCTGTAGCTGTCAAGATGGGTCCAGGGGTAGTTGTTCTGTTCTCCTTATTTTATGCTTGTAGAATGGCCTCAATTTTTCTCTTCTGTCTGATTAGTCTTAGCATCTGGATTTCTTTTTGCCATGTTCCATTACAGAGGCTGCTTCTCTGCCTTTCTCCCCCACATCTGGAGTCCAGCCAAAATGTACCAGAACAAGATGCTTCTAACATTTGAACCCTTTTGTAAGGGTGCTGATTGCAACTTGGGTAACTTCAGTTTAATTCAAGGTGGAAGATTTCTGCTGCTTTGGGGGAAGAAAATAAATGTCTAAAAATAAAACTTGGGCATAAAAATAGGGCCAAATACTCATTAACTGCCTCACTTAGCTGAATGCTGAAATTATTTCAACAGAGCTAAATCAAGCATTTGTGTAGAAGAGGTTGAGTATGTTTTTTTATTCATAGTACTTTATCTTAGATGATAAGTGGGTTACTGTAATTTGTCATTTTATTCAAAAGACATGAATTAAGTAGTTCTCAAGGGCCTAATTTTCAGCTCATGCTGACCCTTGAATTAGAGCACTTGTGTTCACAAGCTTTTTTAGAATGTATGTTGTGGGCTTTTATGGAAGAGGCTGGAGGGTCAGGCAGGACCAGGAGCCAGAGTATGCAAAGCTTGGTAGGCTAGGGTTAAAAATTTGGGTCTGAGTATGGTGGGAAGCCACTGGAAGGATTTCAGTAGGAGGATGTCATAGAATGACTTACATTTAAAAATACGACTCTTGGCTGCTGCATTGATAGTGGACTATAAGCAGTAACCAGTCAGATATCTATTTTAGATATTTCAGGTAAGAGATGATAGTGGCTTTGGAAGAGACAGTAATGGTAGAGTTGGTGAATGCACAAATAATGGAGCTTTATCTAAGCCATTAACAAAAATGACTGGGAGTAATTCTGGGTAATTTTGTTGTCTTGTTTGGGGTAAGGCAGGGAGAAATGGTAAAGGGAATGAGGTAAAAATCAAGGGTTCATGTTGATTCTCTGATGCCTATAAGGCATCTAAGTGAACCGATCAGATGGACAATTGAATATATGACCTGGACTCAGTAGATAAGTTTCAGAATCCTTCATATACAGAATGACATTCAGAGCCACGGAATAGAAGAACTCCCCTAGGGAAAGAGTCCAGAGAAAGTATAAGACTTGAGAACTTCCCTTATTTCCACATAAATAGGGCAAGCAGAAGGGGTACAGCAGTGAGGAAGGAAAAACCAGAACAAGTTGGGCTGGAAACAAGAATCTTCCATCAGAGAGGTAAGGGCCAATTATGTTGAATTCTGCTGTGAGATTGGAGAAGGTGAGGCCAAATCATATCTATTGTTTTGGCAATGTGGAAGTTCTTGGAAACATTGACAGGGGCAGTTTATGACCTGTCACACAGATAGAGGCCAGAGTGGATTGAGGGGAAATAATAAAAGGGAAATGGCGGTGGCTCTTTGGACAATTCTTTCAAGAAGTTAATAGAGCTAAGACATAAGTAGACAGCTAATCAAGAGCCAGAGGAGAATATGGTGTTCCATATTCCATGTTCCATGGAATGTTCCATGTTCTTAAGATAGGATTTATTGGGGCATTTATACTCAGGGGCTTGATCCAGTGGAGAGAGAGAAACTGATGATATGTTAGAGGAAGGGATATAGTTGCAGGGATAAATTTCTTGAATGTAAAAAATATGGGAAGCAGGGCAAAAGTGAAGGGTTGGCTTTCTGTAAGAGGAGAAGGGGTTACAGAAAGAGTAAACACAGCTGTTAATGGGTTGGTTGAATTGGTGGTGGGGGTGAGGGAGTATCCATAATTGTCATTAATGAAGGCAAGGCATCAGCTGAATGAGACATGGGGAAAAGAAACATTGGAAGTTTCAAGAAAAGGTAGCAAATATTGGAATCATTATGAATAAATGAGAAAGTGAACCTATATAGTAAGACGGTGGATATGGAATGCCCCAAAGTTACATTAAGCAAGGTGGATCTGAATTAATTATTGCTGGAAAGAAAATGCTTAATTCTTGTTTGCTTGTTTTTTTTTTTAAGTAGCCTATAAAGGTAAAAGTGTTATTACATATTTACATATGTTCATAGCAGAAAATGGGTTTAATGAATACTTGTAATCTTACTATTCGGAAATAATCATTGTGATACATCTTTTCATGCATTATACATGCAAATACATCAATAAGAAAAAATATAAAGGTCTTATTTTCATAACTAATACTATTTTACAAGTTTTTGCTTTGCCAAACATTTTATCTATTGCTCTGAACTATTAGAGTGATAACTTTGTCATACTGCAAATGTATTCCCTGATTATTTGTATTTTAATATGTTCTTACTGCTTTTCCAATTTTTATGTAGACGTATATATTATAAAAAATGTACAGTCCTGTTAAAAAAGGCCCTCTTCCAAGGCCCTACATACAATTATTTTCTTCTAGTATTTAAAAGGTAAAGATGAAACTATAAATTATTCTATCAGGTTTAATTTTGCTGTGATGAAGGACACAGATGTATTTTTAGAAGTCTTAATTATTCTTAAATATCATATCCTACAATAAATTTATGACACAACTTTTTAATAGTGTGGATCCCAAATGATTTCTTTAAAATTTTCTTTTAGAGGTATTTAAAACTAATTATATGCTATCCCTTAAAAAGAGTAAAAATTATCTATAATCCCATCACCAGAGAAAATCAGTTATATTTTACTTACTTGGAATTATATTGTATGTATACAGTTTGCCATCTATATTTTCTTCTGTGTTTTAGTTTTTGAAACACTCATTGTGAATCATGATTTTAATGACTGATTTATGATTTGTACTATTATTATATGAGAATATATTTCCAGATTTTGTTTTGTTTTTGTGTGTGGTTATAAATAACACCATAGTTAACATAATTGGTGTTAATATTTAACTGAATTTGTTTTTAGTACATTTACCATAAAAGCAATACATGTCCACTGTGGAAAGCTTTAAAAATAAAGACAGAAACTGTTATCCAGAGAACCACTGTTGAACATACACCAAATCTTTATTCATGCAACAGCCATTTTTCAATATCTACTATATAGTAGACACTGCTTTAGATGTGAACTCTGCTCTGCAGAGTTAACATCCTAGTGTATATTTAGTCATATGTCATGCCTGTCTCGGATGTGCAGAAATGTGTGTGCTTTTAAAAAGGGACTATGCTACTTACAAGTTACATTGTATTCTGGTTTTTCTCCTATAACATTAAGAACTTCTTTCCATGCCATTGAACCATCTATTACAATATCATCTTTAGTGGCTGCAGAAGAATGATTTGTGTGGATGTACTGTAGTTTATTTAACTGATCTCCTATAGTCCGACACTCTTTTCCAATTCCTGTTTGCATTTGAAATCCATAATATGCATATTTTGCTTGTCTTTGATAGTATAACTAGTATGACCTCCACAAGACATGAAGGCACAGGCGGTGCTGTCCATCATCCTCATTCTTGTACCATCTCTAAGTGGATTTCATGGTGAGTTCCTTTATAATACACCCAGGTATTAGTTGTTTGTATCAGGAGCTAGGAACATGAGCACACAATGCAAGGTGGCGGTGTCCTCTGTAGCCATAGCATTTTGAACTTTTCTAAAAGATCACTTAATGAGAAACAGGAAAACAGACTGGAGGTCCTGCATGAAGATTAAAAATGACATTTTCCCCTGTCTACTCTAAGGCTTTTTCTAATCTGTTATCTGCTACCAGATATAAAATCACTAGAAAGACAAGTTTGATTGATTGGTGATTGATTTTTTTTTTCAACTGTAAGCTTGGTACTTAACACTTAACAGAAGGCATTATCTACTTTGTTTGGTCCTGTGATGAGCATTTTTAATTATCTAAGGGAATATTAGAGATGTTTAGTAGAGCAATTAGGGAGATTGACAAAAACCACTCCTTCCCCACCCCCACACCTTTCTGTGTCTTTCTCTCAGCATAATACTACATCCCTGTAGTTCTTTGTACAGAAATAAACTAAATCTCTCTGAGGGAGAGAAGTGGGACATAGCAGAATGGAAAGAGCCCCAGAAGAGGATGCAGAGGGAAAAGACTGTGATAAGGCCACATGAGCACTCAATTCTCCCATCTTGGGTAGTCTTGGCCAAGGTCCAAAGGAGTTTACTCCATCATCTGTAAGATAAGACTCTTTCCAGTTCTCATATTCTAAAATGCATAGATAGGGTACATAATCTACTTAAAATGTTTTGTGAATTGGTCAAAGAAGCTGGATGTTGCCTTCAAGGATTATGAAATGGTTAAATATATTTTCTTTGCAAAAATCTTGATTGTGCTACATCAAAAACTAGTGATGTATTGTATGGTGACTAACATAACATAATAAAATAAAATTAAAAAAAATCTTGACTGTGATGAATCCATCTGCTTTTCAAAATTAATTTCTGAAGTTAATAGTAAACTATATGTATAAATTATAAATATATATGTATGTGTATATATGTGTGTATATATCTCAGGATGATTGATACTTCCACATTTATATCCAGAATAATATTCCTTACTATATTTCAGTTGACTCATAGGATATCCGTAGAGGTGTCCTCAAGCCAAAATAAATGAGTCACTTCACTTCCCCTTTTGGATTCCTCCTGCTCATGTGTTCCCTTGCTTGAGGCTAATGTCTGCATATTTCTAACAGATTCCTGAATCAAGCATTGTCTTCTACATACTCCAAATATTTCCTAATGAAACCAAGTTAAATTTGTTCTAATCTTTTAGAGCCTGCTGAATCTAGTTAACTGGATAAACTAATTTGTTATTGTTGTAGTAGATGTTAAAAGTGAATGTGTTCAGGAATAAAAATCAACAGGAGTCTTTTGTATGCATAATATACAATTTCAGAAACTCTACCACAAGCTTTGTGGCTTTTTTCTAGTAATCAGACTAGCCAGGGTTCTTGATGCTGTGGTCTGTTAGTGATCAGGCTGCTAACCCAGGATAGTTCTGCTAGATGGTGCTGATAGAGCCCTAGATAAGCCCCCATCATTAATTCTCTTCATACCTGCTCTTGATTTTTAGATACATTCCTTTTAGCTTCCCCCAATCTTGTTACTACTGAAGAAGAGCAAATAGTCATTGGAAGACTTGGAGAAGATGTAATTCTCCCTTGTTCATTTGAAAGTGAGCCTGAAGTCGTAATTCACTGGAAGAATCAAGATAACTATGTTTACTCATACTACAAAGACCGTGACTATTTGGAAAATCAAGATCACAGATACACAAACAGGACATCCCTCTTCCATAGTGAAATTCACAATGGGAATGCCTCTTTATCTTTAAGAAGATTAAGCCTTCTGGATGAAGGAATTTATGTATGCTATGTGGGAACAACATCTAGAAAAATCATAAATAAAGTGGTACTAAAGGTGGGAGGTAAGCAAGCATGTAAGGTTTTATAAAACATAGCAATGATATCATTCCGTGTTTTTCTGAAATATCTTTTTCTTAATTGAATATGCTATGGGCTTCCTTCCAAGTCAATACATACAAATCTACCTCATTTTTAATTTTTTAAATTTTTTAAAGATTTTTTTTAATTTATTTTATTTGAGAGAGAGAATGAGAGAGAGAAAGCACATGAGATGGGGGAGGGTCAGAGGGAGAAGCAGACTCCCTGCCCAGCAGGAAGCCCGATGCGGGACTCGATCCAGGGACTCCAGGATCATGACCTGAGCCGAAGGCAGTCACTTAACCAACTGAGCCACCCAGGCGCCCTACCTCATTTTTTAAATGCATGGTATCTCATAGTATAGACATGCTATAATTGATACACCTATTCTTCCACTGGTAGATATTCAGGTATTTCCAATGATTTATACAACAAATGTTGTGCTGAGCATTCTTGTATTTAATAGTGGGAAATGATCTGAAAGAAAAGTATCAGAAAATTTTAATATATTACTTTGACCAGCAGCAAAATAGTATCCATTTTCCCCTTAGTCTTAGCAGCACCTAATGTTATCAATCTTAATTTCTGCCCATATGATAGTCTTTAAAATTGTTGAATTATTGGCTTAATTTGTTTAATTTTAATATATGCTTTCTGTCTGTATTAACTTTAAAACTTATTTATTTGGGGGGGCATTTTCTAGTGTGTTATTTTATACAGCACTTGTTTCTTCTTTCTCTGTCTCACTTAGCTGCTTCAGACTTTAACTCAGAAATCTAAAGATCATGTGTAAACAAAGAATCAAAAAGGTTCTGCGTTATTACCTGGAGAGTACAGAGTGTTTCATGAGCTCTAGTTTATATTGGTTGCTCAGCGAGGTCATTAGATTTCTTTTTAGAACCCTTACTAGAGAACTAAGATTGCTAATTGCTAAGAATTCATGCATGCTTTTTGTTTCACTTGTGATAACCACAGTATGTATCCTAAGTTTCTATAGAGTTTTTGTTTTGTTTTTCCTTTAGTAACTGCCAATTTTTGCTCATAAAGCTTAGCTTTTCATTTCATAGGTATTAAAATAATAAGTGTTGTGCACAGATGGCTTAAAAAGAAGCTAATGACAGTCCCTCCTATGTCCTTCTTTCTCCCTCCTAGCTTTTGTCACACCTGTGATGAAGTATGAAAAGAGGAACACAGACAGCTTCTTAATATGTAGTGTGTTAAGTTATCCTCATCCACTTATCACATGGAAAACTGACAATGCATCCATCTCTGAAAGCAATATGGAAGAAATTGAATCTTTGAGTCCTTTTTATGTTGACAGTATGATAAATATTACAGGATCAAATTTATCTTATGAATGTGCTATTGAAAACTCATTACTGAAACAAACATGGACAGGGGGAGGGACAGTGAAAGGTAGGTTCCATTGGGCTTTCTGTGTGCATGCGCTATGTCAGAGGTTGGAAGGAAATGAGGATTGATTTATAGGGAAAGAATGGAACACAAAAGAAAGAAAATGCATCCTCACCAGTGAGAAGACCAAGGCTGTAGTCCCAAGTCTAATATTTACTGACTCTGGGCACTAGCTCCTCACTGGCAAAATGGAAGTAATTCTTACCTGCTAGGTGTTTGAGTTGAAGGAAAACATGTGAAATGGAAAGTAGCAAATCTATTCATGAATATTATTATATTTCTCTGATTCATCTTCAACAAATAGAATTTTCTACCTGAATTGTACTTTAAAAGATGTAAGAAGAAAGCTTGCCTATTAGGTCACAATCTGCGATGCTTGCCAGTCTTTCATTTAAACAAAAATTCATTAGTATTATTGCTTCTGTTTATTCTCTTTACATAGTATTAGCCCATTAAGCTTTATCAACAATTCTATCATAGCACGAGCAGTTTTTCATATTCCTTCCTCTCATTTATTTGAACAAACTGAAATTTTGATCAATCTCTACATCACCTACTATTTAAGATTAAGAGGAAAAATTAGTTTGACATCTTATCCAAACTTCAAGGAAAAATGTTTTATATTTTAGAAGCAAAGCAAAATGTTTTAGTAAATCCCCATTATATGGAGAAAGTGGAGGTCAGCTATCCTTTCTGGCCTTCTTTTCCTGAGTTTCATATTCACAAAGTGCTTGCCAAGAAGACCCTAAATTATCAGTGACTCTCCACCTTTACATAATCTCAGTGTCAAAGGCATAGTTGCTAATGTTCACTTTTCCAGGTGGCAATGGAAACATGAGAAAGCATTGAAAATATTCATATTAAACCGTAGATATTTTCTATGGAAAATCATATTCTCATGTTTATTCAGAATTGAGTATCCAGAAGCATTCACGGTTCCTTAGGCTCAGTGCTATGTTGTCTTATTGAAGATTTATTATACGCCAAGTTTGTTGCTTTCAGACTGTGAACTTAAGAATGTGTACACTTGGGCGCCTGGGCGGCTCAGTCATTTAAGTGTCTGCTTTTGGCTCAGGTCATGATCCCAGGGTTGTGGGACTGAGTCCCGCATCGGGCTCCCTGCTCAGCCGGAAGTCTGCTTCTCCCTCCCCCTCTGCCCCTCCCCTTTCTTGTGAGCTCTCTCTCCCTCTTCCTCTCTCTCTCTCTCTCTCTCTCTCTCTCGTTCTCTCATTCTCTCACTCCCTTTTGCTCTCACACTCTCTCAAATAAAAATCTTAAAAAAAGAAAGAATGTGGATGCTTATTCATTTCTGGATCCACAGCATCTAGTACAAACATGTAAAAATTAAACTAGGAAAGTAGCATACAAAGGGAGCAATTAATTCTGTTCACTGTGTGGTTGGGTATAAATGGGGTTGTTAGAGAATATATGCTTAAGGAGGTTGCATAAGGGCAGAAGTTTAAAAGAATAGTAGGGATTTCCAGGGAACATAGGCATTCCAGGTTAAAAAACACAAAAGCACAGAAGAGTAAATATTGCCTGGATTTGTAGAAGTATAAGTGGTAGAGGGTGAAGCTAAAGTAGCAAGAGATAAGCCTAGAGAGGGAGGCAAAAACTAGGTGGAAGGCCTTGATCTTGCTAAGGAACTTGACCATGACTCCAGAGGTAGTATGGAGCCAAAGAAGGATTTTTGAAGTATCAGAGAGACCTGGACTTGCATTTTAGATAGGCTTGTTTTGGCATCACTCTCTCGCAGGTCGAGTGTGAATTGAGTGAGCGTAGAGCTTAGGGAAAAAAATTCATGGTAGTCCACAGAGGTCAGCTACTGAACTGCAGAACAGGAAGGACAAGATGGAGCTGGATCTGGAGCGACAAGCTGAGAATATCCAGCAAAGTCCTTACTCTCATAGAGCTCAGTCCAGTGGAGGCTTACCTGTACACACTTGGAAATATACTTGTAATGGGCAGGAAAAGAGACTGTGCAGAAAGTGATTAAGAAGCAGTTGAGACCATAGAGACTACTAGAGAGTAGACAGAGTGGCAAGAGGAGGGTCCTGGGGAATACCAGCATTTGAGGGGTCAACAGAAGAAGAACATTGAGTTTGAAAGCCTGGTAACTGGTAGCAACATTCTTGAGTGCTCACTATCAGGCAGTAATGTCACCTGGAGTGAGAAACCAGTAATGTCACCTCACTAGCTAGCCCAGGCTTAGGCCTCCTTGAAGGTCTAAACTTAATCATAGGAAGTGTTAAAATGGTGGTGGCACAGCTTCTTTCAAGAAACGCATTTCCAAAGGTATTTCTCAAAGCATTGCTAAGTGTAACTTAGAAAACTCATTTGAAATTGTATTTTCATTGTTTCCTTTTCTATCCTCTTTTTAGATGACCTTCATAAAATGCAAAGTGAAAATTTTTCACTCTCATGTGAACTTACAAACAGTATTTTTTTACTGGATCAAGACTTCAAAGTCGCTTGGTCCAAAGTAGAAAAAGAAACCTCCTCCATCCTGGCTTATTTTCTGAGCTCCTCACGAAATACAACTATCTATGGACCCCGAGTATCCTGGAACAAAGAACGAATAAACCAGACTGACTTTTCCTTGACTTTGAAGGATCTTATTCTTTCAGACAGTGGGGAATACTTATGCAATATTTCTTCAAGCAAATATACTTTCCTCACCATCCAAGCACTGCATGTAGTAGGTGAGTTACAAGTGGGGTTGGATAATTGGTTTTGGCTATAGCAATAGAGATTATGAATATCAAACAGGGAAATTAGGTTGGCATTTAAAGAATAATTCTGATTAGTATTTCTGAAAATGTTATCTACAGGGATATTTTTGGTCAAGATGTAGTCAACCTCCTTCTTTCAAACACACAAGAGTCCTGCATTGAAGAAAAAATATTTCCATAAGATTTCCTTTTCATAGTTTCAAGGTTTCAGAAATGAAGGAGGAACCTACATGATTGGTGACTCTATAGCCTAAGCATCCTCAATTCCTGTTTACTGCTATGCCTAACACATGCTTTAGGGTCAGGGGAGTTGAGGCTTCAGGCACAGTAAGAAGTTAGAATTGGGACTCTGGTAGATGCTAGGGAAGCATGGTCTGTGAACTTAGTGGAAACAGTCATTAAGTGTACACTGATTCAGCTCATTTTTTACCTCTAGTGAGAGCTAATGGCCAAAACTCTTTAAAATATTTCTAGTCCACTCTCTATAGAGTCATGGCACATGTACCCATGAAGCTGATCTTCTAGGTGGGCTGGTTGATCCCCTTACCCTTAAACTATCAATTTGATATCATGGGACATAGTGGAAGCTCTCTATTAAAGATATTTGAGTCAGTAAAACATATATTTTAAAAGCATTTCTATTATTTTAGTTGTGAAAATTAGGAATAACAGATTTGGAGTTTCAGTGATTTTATGTAGTGAGATTTGGGGATAAGAACATAGAGTTGCCCTTAGGTCAAGTGGTCTTCGAATAGAAGCTTCTAGACACTGAGGGATGATATTCCCTTTGTGTAGAGCTGTCATTTTGAGAGTGCTGAAAACGGGTGCAATTGAAGCTCCAATTTTTCTCCCAAATAAGAATGTTGGTTTCATGTAAAATATAGATAAGCTTACATTCAAAATTTTTCAAATTTTGCCTCATATTGGATTCATTTTGGAATGTAGGAAAAAAAAAACAGGAAGATATGGTCTGAAGACCACATATGACCCAACTTTCTAACCAGAAATTTAATTTTTAGTTTACACAAAGCAAAGCATCAGGACTATTCTATCTCTGACAAAAGAAGCTTTTCAGAACCTCCCATTCCCAAGTAAACCCTGGCCTGTTGTGACTGGAGGAGGGTCTGCCTATACTCTCCCCCCAGAAAGAGGTGTATAGCAGGGGCAACAGAAAGAGGGCAGGGCATCAAAGAGGGTAAGCACTGCTAGTATCCTAGATAATCACTTATTTATTTATTTATTTATTTATTTATTTATTTATTTATTAATATGTTAATCACCATACATTACATCATTGGTTTTTGATGTAGTGTTCCATGATTCATTGTTTGTGTATAACACCCAGTGCTCCATGTAGTACGTGCCCTCTTTAATACCCATCACCAGGCTAACCCACCCCCTCCCCTCTAGAACCCTCAGTTTGTTTCTCAGAGCCCATAGTCTCTCATGGTTTGTCTCCCCCTTCGATAATCTCTTTCAAAGAAATTTGGTTTTCTCTTCTGAATCACAATTTTCTACTTGTCTTACCCAGGAGATACCACAGCATTTGAAAAGTCCAGATTTGGGGGTAAGGGGAGTTATGATTCCTAGAGTCTAGATCTACTTAATAAAGGTTGCATGGAATTAATGGAATTGAATAATTCTTGCTAAATTTTGCTGCTGAATCACTATGTGATGTTGAGCAAATCCATTTACAGTGGAGGAAGTGAGGGTGACAAAGTAAGAAAATGCTATATACCTTGCAGGACTTTCTTCAGGAGGAAAAGTATGCATATGTTTTTTTTTTTTTCTTTTTAAGATTTTATTTATTTGTCAGAGAATGAGCACAAGCAGGGGGGACGGCAGGCAGAGGAGGAAGAGGGAGAAACAGACTCCCTGCTGAGCAAGGATCCTGATGCTGGGACTTGATCCCAGGACGCTGGGATCATGACCTAAGCCAAAGGCAGAAGCTTAACCAACTGAGCCACCCACGGGTCCTGGAAAACTATGCATATGAAAACACTTTCGAAAGTCAACATTTCTACTTAATTGCTCACACTTAATATGGGTATACAATTTCAGAATGACACAAATATGTGTAGAGATTAATGTTTTAGAGGTTGCAAAACATTATTTTATTCATAAAGAGTATGTTCATAAAAATGGACATCTGTTATATAAAAAAAAATAGCTATAAACACTTTTTCCCCTTGAATTGGCCTGTGTGCTCTAATGCTTGCCCCTACTCTGTGGCAGAATGTAGATCACAAGATTAGTGGATTCTGACTTGAGTAATTCAAGGTCTCCAAGTTTCTGCCTTCTGGGGTCCTACTTCCTTTAATCCTAATTACAACAATTATAGTTCCAACAAAGATGCTGGAAAAAGCCCCATTCCTCCAGTGATTCTGAGGAACATCAAGCAGTCTATTATCCTGGTGTTTGCCTGTCACCTCTCACTCAAGGCGCTGACTTCTCTACTCCACTGATGGCCTCCGCACTTACCCTGTTCCTCTTTGCCCCCTGTCTTCTCCATACGAGGGGTACGCTCCGCTCTCTCTTCATCCTCCAAGGAGAATGCTGGGCTGAGGTTATTCTGTAGTCATAACTATTCCTTTGTAACTGTGTGTTAACTCTTTACAATATAAAACAAGAGAAACTCACAATGCATAATAGACTCATTGCTTCTCAAGTTTGCAGCCTTTTTTCCCCCCAATACCCACTCCCTACCAAGCCCCAAATTGGTTAATATACCAGCTTATGCAGGTTTCCCACAGTAGAGACATTGAGACTGGGAGGTATTTATGCTCATAAATGCAGAAGTAACTAGTTTTTAAAATCATAAATATGTCCCTTGTTAATTTTTCTTCCAGCTTATAGACTTTTTGTTTTATTTAGAACAGAGTCAAAGCAGAACCACCTGGATAATTATTCTGTCTTTGGGTTTCCTGGCAATTTGCATATTCTGTATATTAAAAAGATACAACTGTTTCAGGAGAGGTAGGTATCTCATGGAGAATATGAGCTCTGTCCCCGGGTGTTCAGGTAGAGGTGTGTCAAGGATGACCTGCAGCTAACCCTACACGACTGTTGGGCATGTAAACAGGTCTGAATTTTCTGGACAGTCATTTGTAAAATTTATCAGAAATCCTTTAAAATGCTCCCACATTTCCAGCTAACTATACTTCTAACAAATTTATCCTGAATTAAATGTTCAAAGATGTAACAAGCCATATACAAGCACATGCATTGCAGCACACTGAAAAATTTAAATCTAGCACTAAAATAATACACAGAATTACCAAAATTATCTCGCATTGAAAAATAGCTCAAAAGAAATAAGCCCAAACTTTAAAAATGGGTGCCTTTGGAAAGAGTTTGTCCCTATGGCTAGACTTGCTTTAGTCCCTGCACTCTTTTTCTTTGAGCTTTGTCTTTGGTGCTACTGCTTTGTCTTTTATGGGCCAATTTATTTTAATCCTTGTTGCATTTTTAAAATACTTTTTCTAGATTTTCTGCAACAAACTTGCGTTACTTACAGGTAATTTAAAATGATACATTAAGATGCCATGGTCACAGGACTTCTTAGAAGACTTGACTTGTACTGACAGAATTAAATCTAAGAAAAACTTAGATCTACTTATTTCCACATGTTATAGACCAGGAAACTGGAATCCAAGAAGTTAGGTGCATGAAACAGACTTATGTATACTACTTAAGGTGACCCAGGTGCTCTCTCTTATTCCATAATCTGAGAAACCTAAGAGTCCTGGGAAGTTGAGATAGATCCTATGTCCTTTCCTCTGACTGATAATCACCTTTTGCCCCTGACGAAGTTAGGGGATTTGGTCATAGCAGAAAACTTTACTGAAAGTAAAATATTAAGCGTGACAGTGAGCAAGAGTTTCACCAGTTTTACCCTGTGATTATTTATACTAATAGGCAGGCTAGTCTTACTTATTACTGGTTCCTCCCGTCCCTTAGCTGGCCAGAAGTGGAAAAAGATGGGAAATCACAGGCAAGTCTAGTCTGTCCCCTCAAAGCAACCTGTGACCTCATATAATGATGCTTGTGACTAGATTCAGGTTCAAAAATTATAGGACAGAGGGGGCCTACATACTGCTCCAGAATGACAGTTTAATTTCTATATTAGAAGTGTGCAAAAGTCAAGTCCCAACAGAAAATGCCTGGCACACTCACAACTGTACAAGGGGGAGCACAGAAGATAGTTCATTTCCCCAGAGCTGGGAGTAGCTGATTTGCTAGCAAATCTAAACTGGAAGGGACAAGGAGAGGGTGCAGTTCTCAAAACCCAGGAGGAGAGAGTCATGTAAAATCAAATGCCTTGTAGGGAGAGTGACTTTTACTTGAAGGACACAACCAGACCAAGGCAAAGAAGGAGCTGGAAGAATAAATGTGTGATTTTGCCCTTCCCTCTCCCTGCTCTCCACTCCAACTGGAAGCCAGAGGGAAGACCCAGCCTGTAGAAGGAATCTGTCCAAGTCAGCTTCCCGGGGCAGATAGCAGGCTGGGTTCTGATTCTGGAGGGTCAGTCAGGAGCTCTCAGCAAAAACAATGTCAGGGTACTGGCTACTTAAACAACCAATGTTCTAGAGCTCTGTAGTTAGATAGGCTGAAAATATATTTCAAGCTGTTACACTAAAGGTCCCCAAACCTTGCCTACCTCCAGGTCCTTGGTTGTAGTTCCATATGACCATGGTATGTGTTTTCTTTTTTAAATTCCTTTTTTAACTTTATTATGTTATGTTAGTCACCATACATTACATCATTAGTTTTTGATGTAGTGTTCCATGATTCATTGCTTGCATGTAACACCCAGTGCTCCATTCAATACGTGCCCTCTTTAATTCCCTTTTCTAGAACTGTTTTAAAATGCCCTTAGTCTAGGATAAGTATAAATTTTCTTAGATTTTAGCAAGGCACAAAAGGAAGGCCTTCCTTGGAAAACGGCATCATACCCCTTTTTTCCTTTGCCATTGATGGGCTTAATCACCACCTCCTTGGCTGTTATCTTCCATTGTTAACAGTTAGTATAACTCAGGCCAACTACCCTAAAGAGCCAGGAATTCCTGGCCTGGTTGGACAGCTTTTATCCCTGCTTTGGTACACCTGAATCAGCCATAAGAATTTATTGTTATTTGTAGCTAATGAGGTATTTCTACACTGAATGCATTTTTAAGGCTGTTTGTTGGAAGAAAGATATGAAAGGGGGAGTAACTGAGGTGAGTCTAATAACATAATTGTACTGAGGTACGAATAAAAGATTTTGAGTGTTTGCACTCAAGATTTTTTTCTAAGTTTCTCTTTTTCTTCCCTATAGAGAGGTCTTCTGTCCATACTGAGAGGGCCAACATGACTAATGCAGAAGAGAGCAAGGTAAAGCTTTTCCTTTATCAAACCATCTATAGCATAAGAATGCTACTATGAAAAAGTAATCAGTTCAAATATCATCATGCAAGACTTTGACATAGGGGAAAAAAGGGTGAGAGAGATCATAGGGTAACAGAACAGGAAAAAAAAATACAATTAGGGCATTTTCCAATGTCTATAATTAAATAGACTCTACTTAAATAAGCGGCTGCTCTTCTCATTTCCTATTGTTACTTGTGGAGAAGATTTCCAAGAGGCACTATGCATATGATGGTGCACCAATGTACTTGTTCTTCCGATGGAAGCATGGGACTGTACAGAAGTAGAAAGAAATACAAAGTGAGAAAACCAGATTACAGTTTCTGCCCAGATTCAGAAGGCTGGCCTTCCATACTTTTCCAACTACTTCTAGGCTTCTTGGGGACCGATAATTCACTTACAAATTATAGTTTGATTGCAAATTCAGTTGTTTAAAATGGAGTTAAACTTTTTTGCTACATACCTTTTATTATGAGTTCCATTAATCAGAATATAAAAGCAAAGAATGGGGTAAACATGTTTTTTCTACTGGTTAAAAACTCAGGAACTAATCTAGAAGGGAAATTAAAATCAGAACTACTTATAACTGTCTCATGGATTTCTGATTACAGATGCAAACAATAGCTCTAAAGTTCCCCACTCCCAAAAACCAAAACAAAACACTATCATCATTAAATGCTTAAGATAAAAATGGTTATTCTGACATGAACCACAGCCATTTTAAGTCCATTTTTCTTGGTTCTAGGCTCTTTCGGAACACCCAGCTAGTACAGGAAATTAAGACAGGACTGTGTCAACACATGAAGAGCATCCTTAATATCCAGTGACTTCACTTCCCCTTTCTTCACTGCAAGTCCAGAGGTGGTTTGTCATGGCCTAATAATTCTACCGTTGGAAAGACTTGAAACCATTGTCTTTCCGAAACACTATCACGTTTATTCTTCAAGTCCTAACCATCACTCTCTGACTCCCTACCTGCATCAAGATTATGAATGCCTGGATGCCAATTCAAGCTTAGAAAAGAACTGTCTCATTCAGTGACATTCTTGCTGCAGTCCAGGGGGCCACATTGAGGTTCCCACCAAGATCTTGGAAGAAATGTATCACTAAGTGCTGATTCAAAATCTGATCAACTAATGATGAGTGAGAGAGCACCTAGAAGCAGAAATCACCTTAGTGAAAAGGTGAAAAACCAGGGCAATTGATATACTAAGGTATTGTACTCCAGTTTTATATGAATAGTTAATAATTAACTAGATTTAATATGGTGAGTCGTAGGGACTCCAAAGTGTAAAAATGTCAGTATCTCCAAGATTGCCTAGAGCAAAGGGCCCTATCAACTCATGAACTGACATCTCTGGGGGTTGGGTTATACCTTCCAACACCAGGTTTGCATAGCTGAGTGACATTAGCTGTGAAGATAATTTGATTCACTCTTCTGACTCAGTTGTCATATTGTTAATCAGCCTTATAATAAATTTAGATTTCCACATAAATTTTTACACAGAGAGAGAATGGATAGCCCAGCTGACTTAATGATCTCTTCCCTTTATTTTAATCAGTTTATAAGAAAGTCTAACCAGGATTTTAGTGACTTAAGTTTTGACCCTATAGTTTATAGGAGAAAACCAACCCTGAATTGTGTGTTAATGCTATCTGGTCTGATTTTCTCTAAGTATTTGCTACAATCTTGTGACAGGTATTCATCGTGAACTGTGAAGTATTGACATCATTATAAAGAAAAACTTTAATTGTGAGGATAAAATGCTCAGAACCTCTATACTCTTCTTACAAAATGGAAAGACCAAAGTCAACAAATTGAGGATGGTAGACAAGAATGAACCTGGGTCCTTCAATGCTACTGAGCCTCTGAATTAATCATAGAGCCACCTGTATGAGTCAAGGTTGGGGTCAGAGAGGCAGAGTGCTGGGAATGACAGAGAACAGGGACTTATTATATGGAATCAACATTATATATTTCTGGGCACTCATGAAGGAGTCTGTGTCAGGCTGTCCCCTCTGCATCTGGGGCTGGGCCTGAAGTAGCTGGAAGTCAGCTATGCCAGGAAGGAGAGCTGGATATGGAGTGAGGATGAAAATGAAAAATGAACAGTTGCTCCTTCACTTCTCCCTCTCAAATCTGGTGAAAATTTCTCTTGTGACCAACTCTAATCCAGAACCACACAGAGAAATCCAGGAAATGTTCCTTCTGCTTAGCTACAGTGGCACAATACAAAGCCAGCATCCCACCTATCACTCAGCTCTCTTGTGTGAGAAGCTGCACCAACATGTAGCCTACCTAGGTATAGATTGGGAGGATTTAGCCTACAAATTATTTTTTTAAGATTTTATTTATTTGACACAGAGAGAAAGAGACAGAGAGGGAACACAACTGGGGGAACGGGAGCAGGAGAGGGAGAAGCAGGCTCCCTGCTGTGCAGGCTCAATCCCAGGACCCTGGGATCATGACCTGAGCTGAAGGTAGACACTTAATGACTGAGCCACCCAGGCGCCCCCAATCTACAAAATCTAAGTGCCTTTGACTGTATGTACATCACAGTGCTAAGAGGAAAGTTTATCAACCCCTACCATTAGTGGCTAAAAACATAGAGTCATGAATTATGTTAGTATGTTATAAGTAAAATTCATTAACTTTGCTTATAACAATTTACCAACATACCCCAGGCCTCATGGCCTATGTCTTCCATAAATATTACTTATTAAGAGGCAATATGGACAAAAGAACAGGTATTCATTTTCTTAACTTCAGAATTTAAACGGTTCTTATTTAATCTTTTATGTAAAATATTTACTTGTATTTGAGGATCTGAAAAATCCCCATTAACCTTGGAAGCAAAGATACTGTATTACATTTTCTAATCACCTTGTTTAAACTGCTTTCCATACCACATAAACATTTTTTAAATGCTTGTTTCAAAAGCAACATGTTTTTAAATGCAACATGGTTTTTTTAATGCTTGTTTCTAATGCAACTTAAGTTTTCAGCCATTAAATGGTACCATCCTTGTACTTGTCCAGCCCCTATCCTTCATAAGCAAAGAACTTCTTATTCTTCATGAGCCTGAAAAACAGAGTATGAGTGTGCTCTGTGAGATTCCTGTGACTTTCATCAGTGGCACACATACCCAGAACGAAGCCCAGTCCTTTCCAGAGTAAGCAGGCCTTAGCCAACTCCTCCTTAGCTTCAAAGGGATGCAGGGAATTGAGGCAATTATGTACATTACGGAAAGCAGATACAGGTCATTCATCTGAAGGACATGCTTGGGCACTCTCAATTTTCTGCCCGCCTAGGCTTTCCGGTGAAGGCAGTGCCCCCCACAAAAGACCCCACAAGGGAAAGACTGTGGCCACATCACCCATTGGTTCCACAGTCCAGACAGACATCCAATTCTATCAGAAAATCTTTTCTCTTGGTTTATGACAGTTGAGAGATTTTTCAGGCTTTCCTTCTGAGGATAGGAAACAATTAGTCATTGCGCTGCCAAGGATGGTTTTCCTAGTCATCTTGGGCCTCTCAGAAGCAATTTCTGCTTCACTCATTTTACTCTTTGCTGGAAATAACTGTGACAAAGTCGAATACATTACATATGTTTTGCAGCCCTTTTGACCTCCTCCAGCTGAGTGCAAGAGTAACACATGTGAGGCATTTCCCTAAACAAAACCATTACATGGAGTTGATGGGCGGGCCCTGCCTCTAAGACCCCAAACCCAATGCCACGACCCTTTTCAAATTGAGGGCAGAGTTCAAACCACTTAACTGGACCTCTGCTTGTAGGCCTTATCCCTGAGACAATCTTCAGGCAGCAACAAGAAATCTCTGGAGTGTGCCAATGACTCATGCTTCTCATATTTAGATCTAAATATATTCGATATAACCAACTTTTAGATTCTCCTTCAAAAGAGATTATTGTGACCTCCTTCCAGGTAGTATGTATTATGGACAACCCTATCTACTTATCTTGCAGAGTTATTAGTAACTCATTTATGATAAGAGGACCAGGTATGTACCAAGTTTTTAAAAATGAAATGGTACCTATCTGTGCGAGGCACTGTGTTTATAGGCATTCCATAAAGGGCAGTGAATGGCACATTATCCTATGCCCTTTAATTCATTTCTCCTAAAGCCAGACCTCATTAAAAAACCCGGTGTTTGTGGGAAATCGCAGTAAGAAAGCTGGGGCTTCTTATTTTGTATAACCCCCAGGTTCATATGTTGAAATCTCAGTCTCCACAGTGATGGCATCAGGATGTGGGGCCTTTAAGTCGTGAGGATGGAGCTCTTGTGCATAGGATTAGTGCCTGCTATAAAAATCCCCAGAGAGTTTCTTCCCTCTCCCCACCCCTTTTCCTATGTAAGGACACATAGAGAAAAGGGCCGTCTATGAGGAAATGACCCTCACCAGACACTGAATCTGCCAGCACCATGATCCTGGACTGTCCAGCCTCCAGAACTGTGAGCAACGTTTGTTATTTATAAGCCACCCAGTCTCTGGCATTCTGTTATAGCAGCCTGAATAGACACTGACCCTGACAAGCCTACAGTTCGCTGGCCTTGGTCATGCTGCCACTTTGCTAGAAAAGTTAGGGTGGCAGCCCCTACCCTGGGATCTGAATTGTAGTGTCAAAAACCACAGATAGGGGGAAATAACCCTTTCCCCTTGTTTTAGGACAGAATGAGGGATAAAGCAGAAAACTAGAGAAGACAAGTACATTTATTCTCCACTGCCTCAACTTTAAACCTCACCACCCAGGTCTCCATACTGATCCAGTATAAAGTCAGGCACTTATCTACATAGAAAGACTTAACTCAGTTTCAAGCAGATCCATCTGTGCTTTTAAAATCATCTTTGCTTTCTGGACTCCTGACTGTTCTACACAAATGAATCTGGGACCTGGAACTCGGAGCCGGCAAGTTCAGTTGGAATTAAGCATTTGAGAAGTATAAATACAATGTACATTCCACTCGAATGCTTAGCACTGCATATTACCTGGACAAAGAAAATTTAGTAAATATGGGAAGACCTTAGCAGAACCTACTTTTTGTTTTTTCTCTTCAAAGTCTTTTGAAAAATAATTTCTTGTTCTACTGGTCTCTGTGATGACAGGAGCTCTAAACACACACACTTTAAGAATTACAACAGAGTTGACTATCTGACATACCTTTTTTCTAAACTCTTTTGCTTTGATCCTGAGTTTATTGACTTGAGATTCTGCTATCTCTGCCCTTTCCTTAGCTTCATTCAACTCATGTTGCTGCTTCTTATACTTGGAAAGATATTGATTGGCTTGTACTTCCTATAAAAATAAAAAAAATGAAAAAATATCCCTGTGCCTGCATAGTCATTTTTTTCTGCTTTGACATGAAAAAGTTGAAAAATGTGTGAAAGGAATCTAAACTTCTGAGTATTGAATGGAATATATTTTGGTATAATATGTAAGAATTCAGACTTTCTAATAGGCATGAGGTCCATTTTTGTAACCATTGTTCTCTGGAAATTTAGAACCTGCTCAGCACGTTCCACTAATTGGAGGTGGTATGGCTTTCACGGGCATGTTACATGTAAGAAAAACCACAATTGTTTCATAATCAGTTAAACATCCTGGTTTACCTTTGAGTAGAGGGGGTTTATCTTTAAAAATTATACAAGTCAACAGGTAATTTTTAGTCCTAGCAGTGTTTTTTTTTTTTTTTTAAAGATTTTATTTATTTATTTGAGAGAGAGAGAATGAGAGATAGCACGAGAGGGAGGAGGGTCAGAGGGAGAAGCAGACTCCCCGCCGAGCAGGGAGCCCGATGCGGGACTCGATCCCGGGACTCC